AGACTGCAGTCGCCTGGGGACACAAAGCCAAAGTACCATGGACCCTCAGGTTTCCAGTCCTGCAGCAACTCTGTGAGGCCCCGGAGCAGGGTCTGCAAGTAGGACAAGAGGCGGAGGGAGGGCACTGTCCATGTGCCTTTTCTTCCTTCTTTAAAGCTGTTACAAACTTAGCTCATGCTAGAACATGCTGTTCTCTCCAGCTGCCAGAATATCTGAGGCCTCCACAGGAGGACTGCATTCCCGTCTGACGGCCCTGCCCGTCTGGCCCTGGAAAGGCCAGGAAGCTACGCTGCCTCTGCAGTGCCTGCATCCAGAGAGAGAGGGAGGGGCGCCTGGGTGCACAGAACACCACTGTGGACTCCGAACACTCTGCCCATCGCTGCACTGCTTGGAGGACACCACAGGGCTGCGGTGTGTGCAGCAGGGCCAATGGCCAGGGTATCACAGGCTAGGGGTGCAGGCAGAGGCAGCCTCGCCCAGCTGCGGCTCAGACAACCTGCATTAGGACGCCTGTCTGCCCAAGTCTCGCATCAGAAGCACTGAGGAGGGGTGCTAGAGGACCCTGCAATCCAAACCCTTCTTCCAATTCCCTGCTACTTAAATATTTAGAAATAAGATTATTCTGAAGTTTACTCACAAGTCTCTCTTAGGTCCTTTTCTGTGTACAGAAATAAATGATCTTTCCCAAGATCCTGCAAGTTTGAATATAAGGCAGGAAAAAGGGAACCAGAAATGACGAGGGCTCACAGGGCCCTGACTCACCCTCATCACCCTTTCCCAGAGCGATGAGGCACTCCAGATCAGCCCGGTGACCCTGGTGGAACCATCTCCACAGAGCACAGGCCTTGGGGATGGGCAGACGTGGGAATCAACTCTAGAAAAGAGAACTGGGCTGTTCTCAAGCCCACGGAGGCATCATGGGCTAGCCTCTCCCCCTCCTTCCCCCCCTGCTCTGAGCACCACCCCAAGGTGGGAAGGAGCTGGGACCACCCCTGCACCCTGTGGCTGGTGACAGAGTCCTGCCAGAGTTGCAAAACCTCGCAGCCACAGCCTGAGGCGTCCCTGCCTAGGAAACGAGCTTCCAGTCAGCTGTGTGGCCAGGAAACTCAGAAGCCGTGGAGACATTTCTACAGAGTCATTCCTTAGCCCTAAAGCACCTGCAGGAGGCTTTGTCTAAAAATCCCTGATCCTGCCAAAATGCAAGCACCTCGAGATGGATGCCCTGCAAACTTACAGCTGGTAGGGTGCTCCGACGGCTGGCTGGAGGCCAACAGAAGCCTCAGAACCTGCCTAGGAACAGCTTCAAAACTATTAGGTAAAAATGGCCAAGTGTGAGAACTTCCCGAGATTCACACCCTCTTATTTTAATTTTTTTTTTTTCCAGTACTGGGGATTGAACTCAGGACCCTGCGCTTGCCAGGCAAGCACTAATTCTACCCAGCTATCTCCCGGGCCTTCACCCCCTCCTTTTACAGCTGCAGCTCTGGAGTCTTGCTTCGTGAACAAAATCAGGGATGCTCAACAATACAAGCTGACTCCAACACGCAGGGTGCGTTTCCCTGCTCCCGGGAACGTGGGGGCATCACTCAATTCCATGCGACTCAACTGAAAGTTGAATCAAGGTACCCATCAATGAATTTTACTGAAACTATACTAAATGTGTAGACCCCGGGGGATGTAAAAATCAAGTCTGACTCCTGACTCAGAGGCAAGGACAGAAAGGCAGAGAGGGGCTTTGGGAGGTTTCCCGGAGGAAGCGGAGGAGCGTGTCCGATGAAGCACGCAGAATGAACACGACTTACTAGGCCACAGGTCTGTCCCAGGCAAGCTGACTCTGGAAGGTGCACTCTACAGTTTAAAACAGACTGAGCTCCACCTTGCGCCCTCCTGAGCAGCTGGGGTTGGGGACGCGCCAAAATTGAAATGAATTAATGGGGGGGGGGGAATTTCCAATGTACAGCAAGCCTGCTGGAGCTGCTGTGGACTCCTCTGTGGCTTTTGTCCTGTTCTGAGTTCTGAGCTGGGACCTAGACCTTACACCACAGAGCAGTACCTGCGGCA